TAATTGTAACCCAGGGTGATTCCTCCTTTTAGCTCCAGTTAATGTTTTGGTTCCTGCAGTAGATTTTGTCTCCAATGAGGAACCAGCAGCTGAAGTGGGGCGACCCTGTCAGGCTTCATGACACTGCAGCCTTTGTGGCAGAAGGACAGAAGAACGTTTGTTCAGCCTTTAAGGAAGAAATGGAAAATCATCAGCAGTTTGTCTTTAAGGATCATTTGAACTGGTGTTTTACTGGTAACACAACATCCCAACATGACTGAGGCCACAGAGGCAGAACAATGGCTTCATTCTTCCCTCAGCTGCTGCAGGGTCACCTGAGGGTAACCATGATGATGTTGGACCTTCTCCATGTTCAAGGCAAAAGAACAATGGCCGCCTCTATAGCAGCGACCTGCTGGCTGCGACTCATTAGGACCCGAGCTGCATGTCCTGAGGGGGGGGGGGGTCTGGTCTTCCTCTAAACTTCCTCTGCGTGATGCATCCATTGGACTGAGGCTGAACAAACTGCAGCAGGAAGGTTATAAAGTTTATTTATTATTACCGGATGTTTATCACTGAGCAGAGATTTGGTGCAGTTCTTACAGAATCCAGAAAACATTCAAATAAATGTTTCTTCTCAGAGACAGAGGTTATAATCTGAGCTGGAATTCAGCCTAAATCATGGCGGAGCACCAACGACTGAAACGTTCTGTTGGTGAACGGATGACCCAATTAAATAGTGCAACAGACAGGAGGTCACCAGTTAATCACAATCAGAAATACTTTAATAATCCCAGAGGGAATGACTTTCGTTACGCGCTCCAGTTACAGTTTTATATATAATATATATATATATATATATACACATCCAACAACACGAGATAATAAAAAGAGATCAAATATACACACATATAGCTGTTCTGCATATATATCTATGTATATATATCTATGTATGTAAGAACTAAATCCAAGTAAAGTGATACGTGGCGTGCAAAAATAGTGCATAAATGTGAAATGGCCGCTACTGCACTCAGTCATTCACTCACACACTGATGGTGGTGAGCTAAGCCACAGCCTCCCTGGGGCGCCACCGGGCCCTCTGACCACCACCAAGCCAAAGGACACTGAAAACCAGAGCCTGGGTTTGAACCGACAACCCTCCGGGTGCAGAGCAACGCCTCTGTCTCCCCACAGGTAGAGGAAGGAAGATGGCTGCCCTCATGGAGCGCTCAGACCAGATCCCATAGAATCCTGATCCAATGACGGCGAAGCGTCCACACACCGCCCCTCCCCCACCTGCTGCTGCTTGTTTTATTCCTGTTAATTGGCTCCCAGCCTTCGCTCCGTGGCTCAGAGCGCAGAGGAGGAAAAGCAGCTTTTAAACATTTTAAAGCTGCAGTTTGATGATCTAAGAATCCCTGAATCACAATCTACTAAAGGAAAAAGAGAGGAATGAGAAGAATGAGTGATAAAATGTCTCCAGAATC